GCGACTACCATGGGTCGAGTAGCATCAAGTGTTACCTTCACTGCTTCATGCAGCGCTAAGGGCCTGGGAATGAAATCGGGGAAGGTCGGAGTGGAGTCTTCCTTCGTCGTAGAAACGAAAGACCGCTTCGGAAATATATCAGTTGAAGGCGATCATACATGCCCCGTTCAAGTGAAAGTCCAAGCGCCAGAGGGGTTCTTTCTCGGCAACAAGGTCACCAACAACAGCGATGGTAGCATGAGAGTGCGTTACACTCCCGTCACGCATGGCAGGCACATTCTGCACGTGGCCGTCAGAGGGCGCGAGATTGAAGGAAGTCCCTTTAGCGTCAACGTGGTTGAAGGAATTGATTATACAAAGGTCGGACCGACTTTCATGAAGATTGGTTCTCAAGGTACAAAAGCCGGCGAATTCAAGCAGCCTTGCTCCGTAATTACTGACAAGGAAGGAAATATCTACGTCACAGATTTTGTGAACTGTCGAGTACAAAAGTTTGACGCGCTTGGAAAACATCTTCAAGATTTCGGATCACGTGGAAGCAAGGATGGCCAGTTTCAGAATCCGTGTGGTATTTTGGTGGACGCCAATGGTATAATTATTGTGTCAGACTGGGATAACCATCGAGTGCAGCTGTTCAGCCCCGAGGGAAAATTTATTGGCAAGTTTGGAGCCAAAGGTAAGTTTGATGTGATGACGATGATGATGGCATTATTTTGCACAGTGTGCTTTCCTCTTCTACATGCAGACACTGAAAAATAACATTAAGTGCTGAAAACTTGTTAGAAAAAAGAACGTGTTTGGCGACAGCGAGAAGAACGATATTATGTTAAGAGTGACCTGCGAGTAGAAAATCATTTCCTACCTCTTAAGTTCATTTTATATGGGATCACACAACCACATAAAGCTAAATGGTAGAAATGAATCAAAAACCCACGCCAATTGTCAAATGTCTTTAATTTTAGGATCCGAAGAAGGGAAACTAAATCATCCCGCTGGCTTGGCCTTGACTAAAGATGGCAACTTACTTGTCGCTGATAAAGACAACCACAGAGTACAACTTTTTAAGATGGATGGTACGCATATCATGACGTTTGGTTCCCAAGGCAGTGAGGACGGCGAACTCAACAGTCCCAACCACGTAGCCACCACTGAGGACAACGGTTGCCTAGTAACCGACACTGAAAATAACCGCATCGTGAAGTTTGACTGCAGTGGCAAGTTCGAATCAAGTTTTGGCGAAAAAGGCAGTGGCAACGGGCAGCTTGATCGTCCCGCGGGAATTGCTGTGGATCCCGAGGGCTTTATCATCGTTGGTGACTTCCAGAACCACAGAGTTCAGATTTTTCAGCCTGATGGGAAATTTTACGCAACGTTTGGCAGCGAAGGCGACGCAGAAGGAGAGTTTAAGTTTCCTGGGGGTGTTGCTTTGACAAAGGACGGCCGAGTCATAGTGGCAGATAGGCATAACCACAGAGTCCAGGTCTTCTAAAATTTTAATAAGAAGTGTTGCTTGTTCGTAGAATAATCCCAGTTAACTTGGATTAGACTCCTTACGCGCCCAAACAGCAAACTCGGGTAGATTGGGCATAGCCTAGAGCGGAAGAATATTTTGGATACCAAAATGCGTCTGTTACAATTTACGTTCTTTCTAATCAAAATGCTGTAAACACTGTAGTGTTTCCAGTTTTATTTCGAAATAAGCTTTATTTACAGCATTAATATTCTGTAGTAAAAGCTATGATTAAAAAAAAATGCAACACCCGTGACTTATTCAATTTTCTGATTCTGTAGCTATAACCAATCAGAAAGGAGACCTTGTCATCTCGACTAAACAGCTCAATAACCAAAACATCTCTCGATCAACCGCTGCGGTTACAAACAACGTAAGAAACCAATCAGAACACAAAATATCGCTAGCAAAAAAGAAGTTATCTTAGTCTTCTTATAACTTGCTTGGAATAGCAAAACAACCTTTTGCTGTTCTTGGTTAGATCTATTGCACGACTTTCCTTAAAGCCAAAACAAGCGGGTACGTACTTCCTTATATTGTTCACCTGAAAAGTATAAGTATACTACTGAAGTACTGAATTACTATGTAGATGAAAATCATGGACACTAACTAACAAGACTACTTATTTTAAGTGTTAATAATCGTATATGTAGATAATCCTAACAAAAGCTTTGTATGTTGGCATTGTTTGTTAATATTTGAAATGATATAATTCAAAATCTGTACATGTAAAGGATGAAAACAATAAAAGCTTTGTCCAAGGCGAGGAAAACTAATGCAGCGATCGATGAATTGCCACAGTGAATTGATTTAAGTCGATGTACAACACTAGACTAACATTAGATGACTTGCTTAAAAGCTTAGCTTGCTTAAAACGCTGCTTTATCTATATAATTATCAAGTCTGCCAAAAGAGGGAGCTCATCTTCATTTAACTCTTTCAATATTTAGCTAGTTCAACAAGCAATATAAATAAACCTGTTAGCTGGGAATGACAATGATAAAGACGCCACAACAATATACACTGTAGTTACCTTAACGACTCTCTTAGCTGCTAAACAGATCTGGTGAGGAAATGATTTGATTCTCAATTTTAGCCTTTTAATTTCCTCTGCGAAATCGAATTTTGAACAACTTTTAAGAAACGTGAGAGTCACTCCTGGAGATCAAGGACTACCTTCCTTTTCTTCTTAACCGGCTGTTTTCCTTTCTTCTGAGTCTGCAATGCAAGTCCTTGCAATTGTTCAGTTCCTGTCTAAGAGTGAACTTCTTTCCACACTGCGAGCACTCGTAAGGATTCTTAGCAGTGTGTTTCCTCTCATGGAACTGCCGCTGACATCCTTGAGCAAAGCTCTTACTGCAAAAGTTACATTTGTAAGGCTTCTCTCCTTTGTGTGTCCTAGTATGCTTCTTCAGGTTGTAGCTATCAACAAATGCTTTCTCGCACTGTTGGCATGCATAGGGTTTCTCCCCAGTGTGAGAACGCTTGTGGATCTGGAAGCGGCTTAATTGGGTAAACTGTTTCGAGCACTGATCACAACTGCATGGTTTTTCATTGGTCTGCCTGATTTTGTGTTGAGCCATTGCGTGTCTTATTTTTGTAGCATAAGGACAGTGTTCGCATCGTAAAACGTCCGCTGTATGAGACGTGGAGTGAATCCACCGCATCGAAGGTGTTTTAAAGGTTTCAGGGCAATGTTTGCACTTGTACTCTTTCTTTCCAACATTGTTTTTCACGTTGCACTCGTTGTCGTGGAAGAGCAAACGCCTCATCACAATGCCGGCACTCATAAGGCTTCTCTCCAGTGTGAACACGAACGTGCTCCCTTAGTTTTGTGTCAAATTTGTACGATTTAGGCCAGTGTGGACACTTAAAAGGCTTCCCACTTCCATGGCGAGTCAGATGAATATTAAGAGCACTTTGAATCTTGAAGGCCTTTCCACATTGCTCGCACTTAAAGTGGTACTATGATCAAATTTTTACCCCTCCATTTTTTAGGTGTATCGCATAGAGTCCCATGAAAGAATAAAAACGCCGTTTACCGTTTTCAAATATCTGCACTAGTTCCGGAGATATTTAAATTTGAAAAATGTGTAAAATATGCAAATGAGATGACTGATGACGTCATACACTCAGCCCAATATTATATTAAGTATATAAATGAAGCTATCTCGGTCAATTTACAGCAGAATCCATTGAAACTTGGTAGGCTAATAGTTCTACGGGAAACACACCTACGGCTATAAAAAAATTCTGTTCCCATCGCAACTCACTCTTTTCCAGTCCCCACCAACTTGATTTCAATATGTTAGTGATTTTCAGCTTGAAAAACATTAAACGAGGCCAGGAGTTCGAGCTAACATATTTATCTGCCTGCTGGATCGTGCATATGATACACCATTAGCAAATATCAAAATGCAACGCTAAAGGTGGCCAGAAAAGCCTTTAATATTGGGGAGGTCTGGAACCCAGTATGTTGCCATGGTAACAAAACTGTTAAGCTCGTATTGTGGAGCACATTTAGTAGAGTCTTACTGCAAAGAATCAAACATTTGTGATACAARTTGGCTGAGATATCTTTCTTCATCATATTTGATCAAAATTTGGTTGAGTGTATGACATCATCATTTCGCTAATTTGCATATTTTAAAAACTTGAATATCTCAGGAACGAAAAGAGACATTTGAAAATAGTAAATGGCATTTTTTTTTGTCATAAAGACTACTTGTTTATGTTTTAAAATGGCTCAGATAGGAGAGATGCGATTTTCGTCATAGTACAACTTTAAAGCGTCTTTCAAGATTTAAATATTTCACATGGCACTGTTGGTCCTTTTCGTTCGCAAAATACTTGTCACAGTGGTCACGACGATAGGTCTTCTCGCTTGTGTGAGCTTGAATGTGCCTTGTCAAGGCAAAATTGCTATCTAACTTCTTTTGGCAAATCCAGCAGGTCATTGCCTTTCTTTTGTATTTCTTTTTTAACGTGGCGTCAAGCTCTGTTTGAGTAGAACTGCCACGACCTTCTCCTGATTTACAACCTAAGGAACGGAAATCAGCCGTACATTTATCAAAGTGGGTAATGTGTTCAAACAATTGAAACAAACAAGAAAACATGAAAGTTTTTTTTTCAAAACTCCTCATCCATATATGGTTTCTCATTCGCAGTATACGTATTAATTAAACTTGTTCCTACAAAAAGCGGAAATATACGAATAGGCTAATGTCTGATTAAACATTAGCAATTTAACTCCATAATACATACTATTTACAGTGAAACCTCGACTGTACGAACCTCTATATAACGAAGTCCTCGGTATAACGAACGATATTCCCGGCCTCGCTCCAGTAATAGTAAAATATATGGAAAAGAACCTTGATACAACGAAACCTAATTACGGTGAATATATTTTGCTAGCCCCTTGTTTCTTCGTTATATCAAGGTTCCACTGTCATTATAACTGTAAAAATTGATATCAGTTATGCTTTTTCTGAATGTTGCATTTGTTGTATTTTCAGTAGATATTCTGAATGTGTCTGGGAGAGTGTTTCAGAATGCCAAGAAACACTATGAAAAAAGAGAAACCACTACCTAGAGACTATCTAGCCATTGTAAATATATTTGGTCGTTTAATCGGATTGGATTGTATAACGTCGTGTTCAAGAAGCTGTTGTTTGACCTCTAAGTAGTAAGAACTTTATACCCTTGCTTCTTACGTAACCAGGGCCTCAGTTCCGAAATTAAAAAACAAATCTTTCCAAAACGTTCTTTTAATTATTAAGTGTGTTATTTCGTAATAGCACACATGAAAAAGCACAACATGTACACTGCTTCATAGCTTTCCTTTAAATGGTAACAAGTGAAATGGGTCAAACGAACTACCTTTGAAATATTAGTAACTTATTTTTGCATTGCCATCTCGGACATGTACATGGTAGGCAAACTCTGGTCAACACTTAGCATTAGATTCACTGAGATCTTCATCGGCATGAGCGTGTGCCACGTGCTTAAGAAGTTCATTTCTCAATGGAAATACCTGACTGCAATATGGACAACTTTGCCCAGTATGAACTGGTATGTGCAGTTGAAGATCCTCCTTGGTCGAGAACTTCTGATCACAGTGTTGGAATGGGTGTGGTCTGTCATGCGTGCAGTCAATATGGTTTGTCAAAAGATCTTGCTTAGAGAAGCCCCTCTCTCAAAAATGACATTCATATACTCTTGTTCCGTAGACATAAAGGTCATCTTCTGTTGAATACCTTTGACAACATAAATAACAAATTAAAACCAGACAAAGATAAAAGTTTCTACGAACTTCACGCAAGGATTGATTCAACTGCCGGTGAAAGCGTTTGGTAACACACTGAATGACATGTAGAATCTCGATTTTAAAAGACTTCACTAATCCCCTTCAAGTATTTTAAAAATCTGTTTTTCAGTCCTAACCTCTTTAGACCTTTTACCTTGGGCGGTTTGTTGTCCCACTTCAGACCCAGTGATGATATTCTTGAGAATTCTTGCTTTCAGATTTCTTTCTAGTTTTCTTCTATTTTCACAGAGTCGCATGTATATGAATGAATGATTTTTGGTTGGATAAAAGAACAATTCTATAGGTTAAGTCAAGAGAAAATGAGAAAATTTTCTCTTGGTTAAGTTCATTACCTGACGAGGGAATTCCACGTTAAATTTCACACGAAAAACGAATATCATATCTATTCTGCCTCAATTTGGACATCTTAGTTCAGCGTGAGTTCCACATGTGTCCTGGGACACAAAACTTACATGCTATTTACCTCAACTTACATGTTCACTTAAGTAAAAGAAGAATTGCTTTGGGCTCATGAAACTGAGTATTTTATGCTGTTCTTGATTGAATTCAGCTGAATTCGCAATTCCTAGTAATAGGAAAATGCTGATGATGTAGGCAAACTAACAAGCTACGGAAAAAAAAAAAACGAAGGCGTGAAATAAATAAATAAATAAACAAATAGACAAACCAATCAATAAATGAATCAAGCAATAAGTAAACCTCAATAAATTAACTCTCACGCGTACGACAACGACAAAATCGAAAAAACTGTCTTTACGGCTGAAACTCGTACGCAAGAAGAACACTGGAAACCTGTTACAGGATTGTCCTCCTCAGGGGTGGGGCCTGATGGGACAAAATCGGGATCGCTTTCGTCATCGCTTGATTCTTCGTCACTGGAACACGAAGAGACACTTTGCTCTCGTCTGACAAAGACCTCCCCCGCGATCTCGTCGGATGGTTGCTTCTCGCGACTGTGAATATCGATTTCACATTGCGATTTGGAACTTGTACTACAGTGAGGACATTTCAGTTCGCCCTCAGGACTGTTTTCTTATGTCAGCATTGTTGTCCATGTTAACGAAGAAAGCAGGGCTGCTGTGACCAGCAGCAGTTACTTGAATGTCGCTTGCAGATTGTGTACGTTTATGAGCTCCTAAGCTAATTGTGTCGCATTCCCCCGGTGTACCTCTCTCTTCATAGCTGGGCTCGGTCAGACCATTGTTGTCATTTGAAACGGAGCCAGCCATTGAAGACTTACGAGTTGAAGGTACTTCTTCGCCACTCTCACTTGTCATGATGCCAGGATTGCTGTAAACACCTAAGGTGAATAATGTAACAGTCACTAATCATCGGAAAGTTATGTTACCTGAATTTGGTGCTGCAAGGTATGAGTGGAAAACAGGAAAAGAAAAAAACGCTGAAAGATACTGGGAAAAGAAGAGTACTGCTACTCAGGGCACTTGATTTGCCCCCTGCCCAGATTTTTGATTTATGCGTTAAATTTGTAATATGTATTTGTTTTCAATGTTTAAATATTCGACCCCATTAGTCCCATTGGCACTTGCGTTTAATCAAAATTTCTTAATCAATATTCATTATTTCTAGCTTGAAATATTAATTATTAGCATTACACTGCATGATTAGTTGAAGATACTCCAAACATAGATACCGGACAGTCATACAGGCGATGACATTTAGTAACTGTGCATGATTCCATACTTTGTTATTGAAGTCTTTTCTAATCTATATGCAGAACACTTTGGTCCAGTGGTGAGTAACTCTTGAACGTGTTTTGGTTGGGTGAACCTCTGTTATGCTTACTACGAGGTAACATGTCAACAATGTCATCAAGAGCATAAAACGCTTCTTGCGTCTTTGATTTGCATGCCTTGACGGCAGCATTTGTCCAAAGTGTTCTACTGTTTAATGGCAGCGGATATGATGGTCAAACCTACAGCCGGACTTAGGCCAATTATAAGGACCCTATAAGGGTGCATTCCTTTGGGAATTGATCCAAGATTGCGCATCAAAGAAACCGATGAATTCTGCTGGCTTGAAGTGGGTTTATGGTTTCCATTGACGCACCACGATCTGACCCGATATGGGTGATCAGTCCAAAGGAACGCACGCTTAGTTTCCGCCAGTTTTCCAAGTTTTCCACGTTTCTGAAATCTTCGGGTCCACATTATTTTGGTCAGCGGACCAGCATCGAAAAGACGCGCGCGTTCCCTTGACAACAACAAACCCTTTCATTAGCAACAAGTAGAACGCGAGGAGAGATTCGAGAGCTTCCACAACAAATTTATCGATACTTTTGTTATTTTGACCGATCCAAACAATTTTAGTTGTTGAGAGACAGCTTTTGCTTAGTTATTTAATTCTCAGTTGCAATGTCCTCTGAAGTTCGTGACGATCTTCACCAAACATCAACAGGAAAAGGACACTACTACAGATCGCCTCACGACTTTCCGCCGCAAGGCTTTCGAGTGAGTTTCTTTATTAGTATTTTGTGTGATTAGTTAACTTACAAACTACACCAAACACCTTTCCTTTTTCAAATCTACACTTCGTAAGACCTGAAGCATCTAACTTTAAACATGTATTTTTGGTTGAGCTGACTGCTTGCATGGCAATGACTTCCCGTTGCTACCTTTCTTCTAGTTTGATGTGTATTTTGTTAAAACGTCTGTAAGCTTTTTTATTTAAAGCTCTTCGACATGCCATAATAACATTTTAAACACGTTTAAGGGTTACGCTTCTAAGCTGCAGAATACCCCGCCCGCCACTGGAAGAGAATCCTGGAATTGCACTCCAAGAGGTGTTCCCTTGCAACAATTTAATGAAACAGGCAACTTGTTTGAAACAAGCCTTAGATTTTCAAGTACTTTTTTTTTCAGAGAACAGTTTATGATGTGTTGCCACCAGTCCTTGGCAATCCAGATTACATTACTGAAAAGGAACACTTTCAAACAACAACTGGAACAACTCACGATTACAAGGCCCATGGAGGGACACTCAGCAACACGCAATTCAAAAAGGCTCCAGGATCATGGAAAGTTCACTGTGTAGAGGACAACATTGCGAAGGTGAACCACGATCGTAGAAGTGTGAAACATTTAGTTTAACAATTAAGTAAACAACAATAACAACAACAGCAGTGATATATTATGCATCTGAATATGTTCTGCCATCAGACTTGTTTGCTCTCAAGAGTACATGCACATGCTTCAGCTGAGCCTCTCCATAATGGCCATCTTGGGAACAGGGGAAAGTCAGGCCATTGTGTAGAGAGGTGGCCAGTAGTGGAGGTTTGACTTTATTTTGTATCTCTAATAGTTGAGTGTAAAACCATGGAGAAGACCTTTGACAATGGGATATCAGTGTAGTGAAATGACAGCTCAGTACACAGGGAGACCAGGAGTGAATTTGGATACTGTTTACAATGCAGGGATACAACCATTCAATCTTGCTGATCACCACAGGGAAGGAAATAGTAAGGTATGGTTGCATTTTCTCCTGTTCCCTCAAAACATATAATTATTAAAAAGCCAATAAAGCCAGATGAATGTATTGGTAAAATATCACTTTTAGGACCACAATCAGTTTCCCACTCAAGCTAAGAGCTTATTAAGTCTAAGGGCCTTATAAGGACCCCCCTCCTGCTCGTCCCTGGATTGAGCGGTTTGGGTTCGAGTCCTGGCTGGGGACAGGTTGTGTTATATTCTAGGGCAAGGCACTTTACTCTTACAGTGCTTCTCTTCACCCAGGTGTGTAAATGGGTACCAGCAAACTTAATGCTGGGGGCAACCTGATGATGGACTAGCATCCCATCCAGGGGGGAGTAGAAATACTCATAGATGCTTCATGCTACGGAAACTGGGATATAAGCTCTGGTCTGATGGGCCACTTGACTTGTATGCAGACTTTACCTACCTTATAATGACAATGTATGGGTTATTGGTGTAGAGAACAATCAATCAACCAAATACAGTAGTCCTGTAGACATCATACTAAGTAATTATAATATGTAAATTTACTTGATTTTATAGGATCTTGTTCCATCAACAATAAACAGGGGTGTTGCTGGTCAGAAGTTCTACCCCAGGGACAGAGGTGTTCTGACATACCACATGGATCCTTATTTAACCACAACACAGAAAGATCACCGAGCTTTCACTAAGTAAATAAAAAGTTAATACTTTCTTATATTTAGTGTTGCATCATTTGTGGTGAATTAATTTTTAACTTCTGGGACAATTTTGAGAAAAATAATTGAAAATCAAAATGTAATCTAGCTTGTCTGTTGTTGTCACAGACCATAAATACCCACTGCTGAGAACTGATGTTGAATGTCTGGAAATTACTTGGCTAATGTCAAAGACCCTCGTTAGAGAAAATGGCAATTAACCAACATTAACTAATGATCTGTAACCTTTTTTCTGTACTTAAAACAGGCACGAGTTGGGACGTTATCCAGCCAAGGATTATGCGACCTACTGGGAATGTGAAGAGTACACCAAAGCTTGGGGTCATGGCTCAAAGGAAAATCCTCTACCCCCAAATTCTGTTCCTCGAGAAAAAGGGCCCATGAGGGACCGTATCTGGTTCAAAGAGCCAACAATTATTCCCAGGCTACCAAAGTCACTGGATCCTGTTCCTAATAAGTAAGAATAAAGTGTACAAGTTACTTTCAGTATTTGCATAACTAGTGAAATTTACAAATAATTATGCAAGAGCATTTATATGATTGTGTGGTTCCAGAAAATATCCATACCTCCTCCAAGGAAGGCTACTTGGTTTGTACCCAGGGGTACTCCCTTATATGAGCTATATAGGTATCTGCGACCTTTGAGGGTATGGTTTTTTGGTGGTTTTGGTCATAAATAGGGTATCGATTTAGGCCATTTTGGTCATAAATAGGGTAGGGTTTTGCACTCTAGTCTTGAATTGGGTGTATTTTTTAAAAGATTATAGCTACCCTTTCATCATTATCAATAAGACCATCAACAAAATGCGTTGATAAATTATGTTTAGGGAAACTGTGTCAGCCGCAACGGTCGTAAATAGGGTTTCAAATTTTTGGTCAGGTCATACATGTAAATAAGGTACAGAAAGTTGCTGATTTTGGTCATAAATAGGATTAGGGTTTTGGGAAGCGGGCCGCACACCCCCACCTGATTTTTCTGGGAGTACCCCCTGGGGTTTGTACCCCTTATGCCAAATTTGGCTATTGAGACCCACACATTGCAAGTAGCTGTTTTTTGTTTTATGATACTTTTAAAGACATACGGTTCTATTCAGTAAAAGCTGATGGCAATTTACAATCCATGCTCAGGATATGCCCATGTTTCTATCATATCCATGTCAATGAATGATCAATCACTGAGGGTTGTCACCCTCCCCATCCAGAGTTTAAATAAGAGAATGTGTTTCTACTCCAGGATTTGAACCCTGAATTTGCAGCACTGTGACTATCAATATTGTCACCCCTGTGTAGGAGCAGTTAATACATGGTGGTACATGGACATGCATAAGTAAACGTTTTTCTTTATTTGCAGAGGAATGAAAACGCTGATGAGTGAATCTTACACGATGCCTCTTGAGAGAAAGAGATGGGAGCTATTTAGCTTGAATGTTCCAAAACCCTGGCACGCTCCTCTAGAAAGTAAGGACATACAGTGTATGGTAGACAAAGCCAAACAAAACCAATCCCCCATTACATGTAAAAAAAAAAAAAAAATCTATGGCTTATTTTAAAATTTGTTT